GCTGAGCTGCCCAGGCTCCATGCTGAGCTCCTCAGGGACCACGCTGATCTGCCCAGGCCCCACGCTGAGCTCCCCGGGGACCACGCTGAGCTCCCCAGGCCCCATGCTGAGCTCCCCACGCTGAGCTGCCCAGGCCCCACGCTGAGCTGCCCTGGTACTACGCTGAGCTCCCCGGGGACCACGCTGAGCTGCCCAGGCCCCATGCTGCACTGCCCGGGTACCACACTGCACTGCCCAGGTACCACGTTGCACTGCCTGGGTACCATGCTGAGCTCCCCTGATATCACGTTGAGTTGCCCAGGTACCACGTTGCACTGCCCGGGTACCATGCTGAGCTCCCCTGATATCATGTTGAGCTGCCCAGGTACCACGCTGGCCTGCTCAGGTACCACGCTGACCTGCCCGGGTACCACGCTGACCTGCTGCTAAAGGGAAGCTCCTCTTATGGATCGTAACTGGTTAAAAGACAGGAAACAAAAGATAGGGCAAAATGGCCAGTTTTCAGAATGGAGAGAGGTAAATAGTGGTGTCCCTCAGGGGTCTGTACTGGGACCAGGCCTATTCAACATATTCATACATGATCTGGAAAAAGGGGTAAACAGTGAGGTGCCAAAATTTGCAGATGATACAAAACTACTCAAGATAGTTAAGTCTAACACTGACTGTGAAGAGTTACAAAGGGATCTCACAAAACTGGGTGACTGGGAAACAAAATGGCAGATGAAGAAGTGAGGTTCTTATCCACGAAAGCTTATGCTCCCAATACTTCTGTTAGTCTTAAAGGTGCCACAGGACCCTCTGTTGCTTTTTACAAAATGGCAGATGAAATTCAATGTTGATAAATGCAAAGTAATGCACATTGGAAAACATAATCCCAACTATACATATAAAATGATGGGGTCTAAATTAGCTGTTACCACTCAAGAAAGAGATCTTGGAGTCATTGTGGATAGTTCTCTGAAAACATCTGCTCAATGTTCAGTGGCAGTCAAAAAAGCGAACAGAATGTTGGGAGATCATTAGGAAAGTGATAGAAAATATCATAATGCCTCTATATGGGCAGGGATGGTGTCCCTAGCCTCTGTTTGCCAGAAGCTGTGAATGGGTAACGGGGGATGGATCACTTGATGATTACCTGTTCTGTTCATTCTCTCTGGAGCACCTGGCATTGGCCACTGTCGGAAGACAGGATACTGGGCTAGATGGACCTTTGATCTGACCCAGTGTGGCTGTTCTTATGGACTTATGCATGGGTACCATGCTGAGCTGCCCAGGTACCATGTTGAGCTGCCCTGGAACCACGCTGTGTTGACCTGGTACCATGCTGCAATTTGGGGCAGAGGCGAGCAGGGGCACCAAGGGGGCCTACGGGCAGCCAGCTGCAGCAAGGGTGGTGTGTGAGCTGGCTGCCTATGGTCTCAGCATGGAGGCTGAACCTGGCATCTGCTCCAGACTCCTCTGATCATAGCGTCTGGACAACATCTGTCTCCAACTTTTCCTGCCCTCATCACAGGCCAAGGGCATTGGCCCCACCCACTCGGAACTTACCTGATCACAGGTGTGCAAGGCAAAGAGCAATGCTGTGAGGCCAGTGGATGGATACCTCCCATGGTGCTGGGTCCACTTGTCATGGATGTATTTGAGAAAGGCAGGGTTCAAGATTAGCACCTGCGAGGAGGAGAACAGAACAGGGCCAATGCTATGAGATTCTGTCATCATCCTACCCAGTACCAAGAGGCCATGCCCGGAAGGCGCAGACCCACCCCTGCTCACTGCTGACACTCCTGTGTGCTGTCCTGGAAGGGCTAGAGAATATCACAGTGAGAGCCCGTCTGGGACCGTGTGCACAGGGCTGGGCACTCGCTGATGGGGCAGAGATTAGTACCTAGAAAGGGTGAACTTTGCTCCCATCAGGGCAGGAGCTCTATTGGATTAGTCTGCTCTGAGACGAATGGCCCATCCTGCGTCTTGGCGTGCTGCGGGCAGTGCGTACCACCCGGTGCACAGCAGGAGAACACGCGCCACAGGGGCAGCCCACTCCTGAGAGCCTTCTGGGAAACTGTAACCAGCTGCTGCTGGAAATGGCCAGGCCTGGGAATGCTACGCTTGGCTGGCCAGGAGGGTTTGGCAGAGCTCTCGTGCCCGAGCCGCGTTAGGAGCTTGGAGCTCTGCACTGGCTAGCTAGGAAAGATGGAGAGCTCCTGCAGCCGGTTCTGAGGAACACGGTCTGTGAGGCTGGACTGGTTTGTCTCCTGAACGACTGGATTCCTAGTGTGTCTCAGGGATCCCAGAGCACAACTGGCCATCAGGCCTTTAACATGCTGGAAGCCACTTTACAAGCACCTGCGCCAGACTCCAACATACAGACTTTGTGTCGCCAGCTTCCCACGCAAGCGGGTTCCATGGTTAGTCCTTGGCCACTTGATCAAAGTTTACGGAAATTCTTAGACCCCGCCCCCCCCCCCCATTAAGCAGTGTCAGGAAACTGTAAACGTCTGGCAATGTAACCGTAAGGGCCTCTGATAACCGTCCTCCCCACAGACTGCCCATCCTCTACCCAGAGTCGGGAAGCAAATGTCCAGCACATGAGGTGGCTGGTGCTGGCTGTGTCCCCAGCCAGCCCTTACCTTGCTTCTGTCGGCTTCAATGAACTGTTTGACTCTTGTGTACGTGCTACAAAGGAAGAGGAAGCGTGGTCAGTGGAAAGTGGTGTCCTCCGTACCCTATGCACGGCTTTCTTCTGGCCCCACCCATGACTTCTACAATCCACCAGGGATGAGGCTAATGCCTGCGCAGACCTTCTCGGGAGCTGAGTGGCTGCCTCCTCATCGGTGCATCTGCTGGAACTGCTGTCTCCTTGGCGCCATGCACTGACCTCAGCTCAGGAGCCAGGATGCCTTTCAGCACAATGCCATTAAGCCACTGAGCCAGCCCCTGGGCGCTGTGGAGCGTGTCTGAACACCAGTGCTGGAGCCATCAGCCATGAGACATGGCCCTTCCCCGAGATCTGTACAAATGTTCTCACCCTCTCTAACCCGCTTCAGGTCTGCCCTGTCCTTCGCCACCCTCTGGGGTTCAGTGCGCCAAGCTGAACATCATGTCTGGTGTGCGCCCCAGCCTGAGGGGGAGGAGCCCTTGAGCCTATCAACCTCCCAAGGGAACCACTGAGCCCCCTCAAGGGACGAGGCAGGAGCAATCTAGCTTCCCAGAGCAAAGCCCCCATCCTGGGGGGAGGGGCAGCGCCAGTGTCCTGGGGACCCTCCATCCCTCATCCTAGGGTGGGGTCATCCTTCTGGGGGGGCTCCCGAGTCCCCTCTCCTTGGACAAAGGGGTGAATCAGCTTCCATAAGTCAATGGAGCCTGGGCACCACCTAAGCCCCATCTCGTGTGGGGATTTGTGCTGTGGGCACACTGAAGCCCACTGCCCCATGGGATGAGCCAGCACCCCCAGAGCCACCTCAGGCCTTGCATCTTGGGGGAACCCCAGAGACTGCTCAGCCTCCACCAGGGGCAAATGAGCCATGCCCATCTGGAGCCTCCTGCCTGGGACACTGCCCTCAAAGGATCCCCCCCAGCAGATCAGGCCCCATGCTCACTAGCGCAGCTCGCCTGTAGAGAAGGCACTGGTCACCCATTTCAGGTCCAGTGGTTTAAAGGGGACCAGCACCAGGTGGACCCCAGGCTGGAGGTCCACAGCGCTCTCTGGGTACATAAAGCGGTGCGTTGTCCTCGTGCCGACATCCTCCTCGAACCCAGCAGTCTGTGCCCTGTTCATCCTGGGGGCACGAGGAGAGAGCGCAGCTCAGTCTGCTGTAGCACGCCTGGCCATACATGCTGGGACCCTGCACTCTCAACCTCCCAGGGGCCCTTCCTGGCCAGCTGGGCGGGGATGGGGCTCAGAGCCTGCCCTGGCCAGCTGGGCTAGGATGGGGATCAGGGCTCGCCCTAGTCAGCTGGGTGAGGATGGAGACTGGGGCACGCCCTAGCCAGCTGGGCGAGGATGGGGCTCGGGGCCCGCCCTGGCCAGCTGGGCGGGGATGGGGCTCGGGGCCCGCCCTGGCCAGCTGGGCGGGGATGGGGCTCGGGGCCCGCCCTGGCGAGCTGGGCGGGGATGGGGCTCGGGGCTCGCCCTGGCGAGCTGGGCGAGGATGGGGCTCGGGGCCCACCCTGGCGAGCTGGGCGGGGATGGGGCTCGGGGCCCGCCCTGGCGAGCTGGGCGGGGATGGGGCTTGGGGCTCGCCCTGGCCAGCTGGGTGGGGGATGGGGATCGGGGCCTAAGTTCCCTCTAAGCTGCGTGGCCATGCGACCGTGCAAAAGCCTATTAAGCACCGCACAGGAGCTCAAGGCTGTGGCAGGGAGAGATTCCTCTCCCCTAACCCCGGACCCAACCCAGCCCAGCCACGGACCTGCCGCGGGCAGGGGAGACATGCCCCTCCCTCGGCCCAACCTGGCCCCGGCCTGGACCTGCCGTGAGCAGGGGAGAGGTGCCCCTCCCCCAGCCTCAACCCAGCCCCAGCCAGAGCTGCTGCGGCGGGGAGAGGCGTCCCCCTCCCCCAGCCCAGGTGCTGCTGCGGGGAGATAGAGCTGCGGGGAGTTCTCTCTCCTCGTCACAGCCCCGGGGCAGCCTGCACCCCCACCTGGAGCCCTCACACCCCCCACAACCGTCTGCCCCAGCCCTGAGCCCCTCATCCCCAGCCCCACCCCAGAGCTCACGCCCCTAGCCGGCTGGGTGGGGGATGGGGCTTGGAGCCCGCCGTGGCCGGCTGGGTTTGGATGGGGCTCAGGGCCCACTCTGGCCAGATGGGGGCTCAGGGCCTGCCCTGGTTGGGAGGGAAGGATGGGGTATGGTTATTGCTATGGCTGGGAGGATGGGCTGGGGCAAGAGAGCCATCCTGGCCAGCAGGGAATGGGGGGGCTCGGAGCTGTCTGTCATCGTGGCCGGTGCTCACTGGGGCTGCTAGCCCAAGCTGGCTGGTTTTTTACTTTCAGATGTAGCCCCAGAGCTGTGCCCCGCTCTCCTCCAGCAGCTCCCAGATGAGCTGAGGGAAGACAGTGGGCGATGGTGATACAGATTCCAGGGAGTGCCTCCAACACGGCCTGGGATCTCCTTCCCGCCCAATGACCAGGTGGCCTTCAGCAGCCTGGCTGTAGCACCAGGTGCCTCCTCACTGCTTGTTGGGAGGGAACAGCGCCGTGAGACACCCCCGGGGCAGGACAGGGTCCCGGGTTCATCTGCGCCTTTGCTGGGGCTCCATCCCAGGCCTGTGGGCAGAGATTTACTCTGCTCGACCAGAGCGGCTGCAGGGGGCCGGGCCCATTGGAGAGGTGGCTGGAGAGCAGGGGGTGAGCCAGCTCTGTCCCACTCACCTCAGAACCCAGTGGTGGGAGTCGATCTCTCGCCCGTAGTGGGAGCCCCTCAGGCGCCCGGAGTTCCCCACCACTGCACACGTCCTGCAGCGGGAGGGGTTCCAAGCATCCACCGTTGGGGATGGGAGAATGTCAAACATTTGCTGGATTATTCCCTGGAGCTGGGCATGGCTCTTCGAGCCCTGCAGCTTCTAAAGGAAGAAGAACATGGGTGGCAGGGCCTGGGGGCTGGGCAAGGGCAGGCAATGCCTTCTCTGCAGGGGCCAGAAGAGCTGTGAGCCCAACCCCACTGTGCTCAGAGGGCACACAGCACACCCCAGCTCCTGCTCTGCGACACCCCCTTTTTGCAGTCCTCCCCACCCTGCCTGCGCAACTTTGCCCAGGGCTGCCCCAAGCTCCCTGACAGTGGAGCTCTGCTAGCCACACGGGTGCATCTCCACTAGGTGTGTTGGTGTAATGAAGTTGGGAATTTCTGAATAATTTGTATGACCCTGGTGTGTGCCTCAGTTTCCCTGATACATTGCATGGTTACCCAGTAGGGGACAAGGATTAAGTTTGCTCTCAGGGCAGACTAAGGGTCACAGGTGTCGACTTTCCAAAGTTCTTGACCCCTGGCTCTGCCCTAGGCCCCGCCCCCACTCCCCCCTTCCCCCAAGGCCCCAACCCGCCCCACCTCTTCCCATCCCCACTCCACCCCCACCTCTTCCTGCCCAGTTCTGCCCCCTCCCCCGAGTGTGCCACATCGTCACTCCTCCCCGCACCCCCAGCCTCCCTGCATGCTGCGAAACAGCTGATCGTGGTGGGTAGGAGGCACGGGGAAGGAGAGAGAGGTGCTCCACCCTCTGGTGGGTGGGAGGTGCTGGGGGGTGGGGAGGATCTGATAGGGGGGCTGCCGGTGCATGCTCAGCACCCACCCATCATTTTTTCCCCGTGGGTGCTCTAGCCCCAGAGCACCCACGGAGTCAGCGCCTATGCTAAGGGACATAGGTCTGGGTGGACTGAAGCGTCATTAAGAAACTGGTTGAAATTCACCCAGTTCAACAACAGGGCCAGAAAAAACAATGCAAGCTCCAGTGCCTCCTGGATTTCGCTGCCTCTCAGCAGGGCGGTTGGGCAGAGAGCCCAGTTTAAGACCAAAGGACTGGAAGGTGGGCAGTGGGGCTTCTGGAGGAAGCTGGGAGTTCTCTCACCTGGGAACTGACACTGAAGGTCAAATTGAGAGAGAGACAGAGACTGAAAATAGGGTTCACTACAGCATGGCTGGGGTTCTGGGCTGACCAGACTGGACTGTGCTAAGCTTCACTTCTCTGTGCTAACCTAAGGACTTCCCATGCTGTGTGCCAGGGGACTAATAAACCCAACTGGTTTGAAACCACTGTTTGAGTGTCCCTGTAAATACTTGGTGAGGTGCGTTAATCCCTGCAGAGTGGACAAGTCTCTCCCAGGAGTCTGTCTCAGTTGGACTCACTGAACAGAGCTCACAGTATGAAGCAGGAGTACTGCAGCCCCAGAGGTTCAATCTTAGGAGGCAGTGAGACTGGGGGATCCCTCACACTACCCTGAGGGAAGAGTGAGACCCCTGGGGGTCTGGCACATCAAAGGGTTCCTCCAAGAGACTGTTCTAAAGCTGGGGGTGTAGCACTGATCTTGTGGCTCCATGAGGTAGCTAACACACAGTCCCATCCCGATGCAGACCAGGCCAGCTGAGCTAACAGGCCAAGTTAACGCCGATGGGGAGCCCAGGCTTCCCTCGATCTGTGATCTTGTGGGAACACTCCAAACAGCCTGGCCTTCCCTTGAGTGTGAGTGTCTCTGTGAGCTAACTCCTAGTGAACACAAGGCCAGAGAGTGCAAGCTCAGCTCACGGGCCCCTGGCTGCTCCCTGCAGCTCCCACTCTCTGGGCCCCCAGAATTGCTCCCGGCTGAGCTAAGCACAGCTGTACAGGCAGCTGCAGTGTCAGAGCAGGGAGCTGCACGCAGTGGACAGAAGCAGCCAGCAGGGACTTGGGAGGGGCCAGCTGAGCAGCTTGTCCTGCAGACCAGAACTGCTGGTAGGCGTGCTGGTGGCTGCCCTTTTCTACCCCAACCTCCTCTTCCCAGAGGGATCCATGTGGGGGTGAGAGGAGCACAGAACAGGCTCTCTGTGTGGGCAGCTGCTTGGGGAATGTGAAAGCACCCTGGCCCGGCCCTATGCCCCCCAATCAGGGAGCACGGCAGCAGGGGCAAGCACCCATCCCCACTAGTCTCTGCTGGCCTCTTCAGCTGCTACAGCCTGTCTCCTGGGACCAGTCCTACAAAGGAGCCAGCCCTTGGCACTCAGAGCGTCCCTTTGTTTGCTACCCACCCGTGCCATGGTGCCGTGCCCCAGTCCACTGCTTTGCCCTTGCCGCAATGTTCTGAGGGGCCCAAGGGTGGGCTCTGCCGCCAATGGCCATGGTAGGAGGTGCTTGCATTGGTTTAATTGCTGTGACTCTGTAACTCACCAGCCACCACAACAGAACGTCTGGGGCGATCTTGGAGGTGTGCACTGTCAGCAGGGGATTTATCGCTGAGTCGTACTGTTCATTAAACCAGGCTGAGCTGCTGAGCTCCACAATACAGCTGGCACAGCCACAGGGCTTGGCCTCTGAGACGGACAGAGGCCACAGCATGTCTCCAGGCCTCCAGGAAGAGCCAGAATGCCCCAGGTACAAGGACTGATGAACCTGCCACAGGACAAGCACCATGCACAGGGCTGCAGCAGCCCACAACTTCTTCCAGTGCTGCATCCTTCACTCCACCAGCTCCTCCCTGCAGAACTTCAGTGGGTCTGTTCCATGGGGAGGGGCCCATGTGTGGTGTTCAGGGTCACTGCCTGTGGGTACCTGGGCTCCGTCGTAGTTTCCCTGCTCTTATAGGATGAACAGGAGCCTTTCCTGGGTAGCTGCAGATCCCCAAGAACAGAAGGAAGGGACAGGCATGTCCAGCACACACAGGAGTCACTGGAGGTTTCCAGCCCTGATCGCAAGTCAGCGTTAGCACCAGTCCCCCATAGCTCTGTGCAGGGGGCAGCTTCTTCCAGGCTTTGTCTCTCTCTGTCCCAGCCTGAAACAGACCAGATAATGAGTATCAGTACAGACTACAGTGCCAGGGGAGAGTCTTGCAGTGACTTGCTGTCACTCAGGACAGAGTCTGACAGCCCTGACTAGGCCGAGGACAGGAGGAGGTGATACCTGTATGGTCTGCAGTGGAGTTACACTGGAGCTGGACTGGGTGGGAGGGTCACACCACAACTGGCACTGATTCTGTGCCAAGATAGTACAGAACTGAGGCTGCAGTTTTCAAACTTTGGAACCAAAAGTTGCGCACCTCAATCCAGAGGAAAGCTTCCAGCGCTGTGGGCAAGTGAGGTGGAGGCAGAGCCTACCCTGCTCCCCACAGTTCCTGTGAGAGACTTATAAACCCTCCTGTTCATCTATGTCATAGCCACATCTGTGGGTAGGTCATCACTATGGGACCTAGCTGAGCTACAGGGGCAGAGCTAAGGTGGTTTGAATGTTCTGGCTTTCATGTGTTTCTTTCTGTAATAAAAATGCTCCAATATGTTTTTCTAAGTAATGTAAATGTATTTGTAATTTATTGTTACGGTAATTTTTTTCTGAGACTATGAACCTCTCAAGTCTACATTTAATGCAGAGTCCAAGCAGAGAATGTAAACACACGTAAGTCAAGAAATTCAAACGTTATGGTTCCTCCCAGAAGCATTAACTCAGCCCCATTTTCCAGCTGTGATCTATGCAACAAGTGCAATGTGGGGGCATCAGCCTCACTGGGGGAACCTCACCCCTTTGTTTAAATTCTCAGCCCTTGTGTTCCAGTGACATAGACTTCCCATGCAATTTCCTTTGAAAAACAACGCTGGTCCTTGCTCAGCTCTGGCTAAGTGAGGCCCAAGGACAATCCCCTCCCTGCCCCAGGAACAAATGACCCACGTGCACCTCCCGCCCACACTTTGTGCTGGCATTGGCACATGCACAGTGAGACCCTCACACCACCATTCCCAACAGAGAAGAGTTCTGTGCGGCATGTGACAAACCCAGAACGTCAAAGCGTTGCAGTTTCAGGAACACTCAGCTATGCCAAAGGACTCCAGCCCCCGGTGAGGATCCAGAACCAGGGCTCAGCCATTAGTTTTAATATTTGGGGGCCAAACCTGCTCCAGCAGATAAGATCAGAACAGAGGGATTTCCCACCCATTGTGCCCTGACTCAGAGAAGCTAAAAGTCTTTTGCATTAAGTCCCCAAACAATAATTGCCCTTCGAGCAGAGCCCCAGAACCGGAAGGATCCTCCCAAAAAGAAAGGGCAGGCCTCATCTTGCCAGGGGCAGTGTGATGCTGTATGGTTGAATAGAATCATTATATCAGTGATATTACCACTGTTAGACAATTGCAACAAATCGCATACAAAGTATGTCATGTAAGGTGTCAATGGAAAAGTTAACCACTCACAACTCTCTTCTTTTCTTTTCTTATTAAACCTTTAGTTACGAAAGGATTGGCATCAGCGTGATTATTAGGTAAGTTCTGAGTTATATTTTGACCTGGCTAAGTGGCTGACCCCTTGGGATTAGAAGGACCCTATATTTGATTACATTGGTTTTCAGTAACCACTCATCATACAGTCCAGTGTCTGGGTGGTGAGCCAAGGGCTGGAATGCCTAAGGAGAGTGCATTTTTGACTTCTTGTTCGCCAGTGTGGTGAGACAGACGTTCACTGTTGTTACTGGCTTAGTATAATCGAATGACAGGATAACCAGCAGGTTGAGGTGAGTCTGCCCTATTCTTCCGCGGTCTGTCTGGAATCTGCTATTCTCAGCTCAACTGAGGCACAGTGACAGCTTGACTCTCGCTTGAGTTAAGCGGGGGTTGGGCACATGTAGCACCTTGTAGTATTGGGCCATCCCCACTGAAGTGCTCCCAGCATGCTGCCAGGCAACTGCTGTCACCCTGAGGCTCACAGGAAACCCCTGGAAGAGTTTGAAAAGGATGAGGACCTCTGGGTCCAGATCCAAGGCCGCAGCCCTGTTATTCATAGAGTATTAGAGATTACCCTGCAAGGCATTGGGCTTTCCACCAGAGATCAGCGTGCTCTGGCCCCAGAAATAACCCACTGCTGAAGCAGCAGGCTTATTCACGTGAGCAAGCGGGCAGACTGGTATGCAAGACACGAGGAAAAATGAAGAAATCCCCCAGATGGTGCTGCCCCAGAGCAACCGAGATGCTGCTCCAAGTCTACCCTGTTGCTTTGGGCCACTCTGGGCCCCAAAAGAGAGAGCTGAATGTCCACAGAAGGTTGTACTTGGTGGGGCTGGGCCACGCCATGCAGGAGTGATGTGAAAACAGCTCAGTCTGCACCAGCAGAAGGAACTTCGGGGTGGGTGACAGGGCCCCTCCTCCAGCCGATAGAGACCAGCACACCTTAGAGCTGGTAGCACTGGACCACTTGAAGGTGGAGCCAATCCTAAATCCTGACCATGGTGGACCACTACTCCACGCTCCTCAGGGAGATCACAACCAGAGAACTCCAGAAGCCTTCTGGTGCTAATTTGTCCAGCCCTATGGCTACTCCACCAAGGTGCTCAAGGGCCAGGCATGCCCTTCAAGTCACAGATGTTCATTACCCTCTTTAATACCTTTGAAAAGACTGTCAAATGGGGTTGTTCCCCCTTGTAAAAGTTCTATACAGCTCAAGGGAGCCAGGGAGGTTTTCAGAATAAAAGCCTTATTTAATACTTTATCCTTCAAATGCTTTAACTGACTTTCTGACGTTCAGTATCGTTAATAAAAGGTTGTAATGATTTTTAATGGTGTGCTCATCATTGACTGTTAAGTGTGGGATAGGGTCACATTAACATCCTTGGCACTCTCGGCCCATTTATTCCATCAAAATTAATTCAACTGCCCTGGAGCAGCTCCAGCCTGGGATCCGCCCTCGCGGGCAGCCATGGTCTGATCCACCCCAGAGCATGGCTAGGCGTGAGGAGCCCCACAGAGCTATAGAAGGAACCTTCAAGCATTCTGGGGCTAGACTCACAAAGGGGACTCATGCCTCAGGCCGAGCATTGCAGCCCTTAATGTCTAGGTGCCTTGCTGCCCAGTGAAATCCACAGCGCTGAGTTCGGCACCCAGGCTCCCCATACAATGCATGGGGTGAGAGAGGTGCCTCAGCTCCATACAAGGGCCCCTCTCCTGGAGTTAGGTGCCTAAGCCAGGTCAGCCCCACCCTCCCCGCAATATATCCAGTCTTTAAAGCACTGACCCCTCAGGCTGATTACATGCCAGTGTCCTCCCCACCAACTGCAGGCTAGTCTGGGCTGGGGCGGAGCTCCCGGGCTCTCTTGTTGAAGCTGCTCCACTTTGCATGAAACAGTGAACTAGTCCTTGGAGCAGGGCCCGGGCCCAGGGTCTCTCAGGAGAGTGCACTAACTACTGGGCTAGGAGGCCAGGCTCACTCCCTCTCTCGCTGGCCCACTGGCCCTTCATAAATAGATTAACCAACATGGGGCTTAGGACAGAACCTAGAGGCCCCTGCTGTTCTCCTTTTATGACAGTGAAAATCAACCATTTAACCCTCGCCTGGTTCCCATGTCCTGGCCAGTTTCTGAGCCAGGACAATATTTTGCCTCTCATCCCATGACAACTTAGCTTCTTCAGTCGCCTCTCGTGCCAGACCTTGTCAAACACCTTCTGGTACCTAAATACATTATGTCAGCTTGCTCTTTATCCACTACTTTACTGACATATTCAAAGGAGCCCAATAGATCAGAGAGCCATGATTTCCCTTTGCAGGAGCCGTGCTGGCAGACCCTGTCAGAGCATGAACTGCTAGGTGTTTTAATGATCTCTTTGACCTATTTGCTAGGTACTGTGGAAGTAGAGAAAGAACTGACAGGGATTTGAAGGGGATGTCAATGCAAACAGGCTAGCTGTAACCCTAATAACGCGAGATTTGTAGAAGCGAGGATTGTGTGAGGCGAGTGGGGAAAGAACTGTGTGAGAAGTTGTTATGACCTTGTGTAGATAAGATGGAATGTCTAAATAAGTGAGAAAGAGAGTCTAAATAAGTGAGAAAAATAAGTTATCAGGATGACCTATGTATAAACAAAATGCAGCTGTTGCTCATTATTGTCTGTAACAAAGGTATAAATGCTTGCTGTAATTGTTTACCTGTTGAGAGACCTGTTCAGCTCTCTCCCTCCAAGCAATTGCTAGAGATAATAAAGTATCTGATTTGCTGCACCCAGCCAAAAGAGTGAGAACTCTGTTTTTCTCCGACAGTACAGAAATAAGGCTTAATTCTAATTTCCTTAATCACTCTTAGCACTTAAAAAAAATACAGATAGACTCATAGAATCAGAAGGGAGTGCATAGGTCATCTCGTCTAACCCTTGCCAAGACGCAGGACTTGTTGTGTCTAGCCATTGAAAACCTCCAGTGAAGGAGCTTCCACGACCTCCTGAGGTGTCTGTTCCATTGTCCTACTGTTCTTACAGTTAGGAAGGTTATCCTGAGATTTAATCTAAATCTGATATACTGTGGCTTGAACCCATTGCCTCTTGTCCAGCCCTCTGTGGCAAGAGAGAACAATTTTTCTCCACCATTTTTATGGCAGCCTTTTAGTATTTGAAGACCGCTCTCATATCCCCCCTTAATCTCCTGGTTTCCAAACTAAACATACCCAGTTCCTTCAGCCTTTGCTCATATGGCTGCATTTCATCCTTTTGATTGTCTTCATCACTTGCCTCTGGATCCTTTCCAGTTTCTTCACATCCTTTCTCTGCAGCGGTGACCAAAATTGGACACAGTACTCCAGTGCTCCAGCTAAGGCCTGACCAGCCCGAGTACAGCGGTATTATCACCTCCTGTGACATGCACGCTCTGCCTCTCTTAATGCAACCTACAATTGCATTTGCTTTCTTTGGAACAGCATCGTATTGCTGACATATTGTTGATCCAGTACAACTCCCAGATCCCTCTCAGCAGTGCCAGCCCAGTTAGCTCCTTTTTATGGACACCCACCCAGCCAGTGGCTATAAAATCCCTCTTAGTAGCTGTTCTCTAATTGCTCTACCTGTAAAGGGTTAAAAAGGTCTCACTGCTATGCATAGGTAAAAGGAAGTGCGTGGGCACCTGGCCAAAAGAGCCAATGGGAAGACTAGAACTTTTTAAAATTGAAAAACAACTCCCCTTTTGTCAGTCTGTGGTTGTTCTCCCAGAGAGAGGGGACAGGGCAGAGCTATGCTGTAAGAAGCTTGGGGCCAGGTATGAAAAATCCTCAGTATCATACCTAGAAATTACTCATTTGAAACCCCAGGTATGTAAGCAGATCAGGAAATGTCTAGGAAGACACGATTAGGTTTATCTCTTTTCATTTCTTTATGGCTTGTGGATTCCTCTGTGCTAACCCCAGGTGCTTTTGTTTTGCTTGTAACCTTTAAGCTGGACCTCAAGAAAACTATTCTTGATGCTTAATCCTTGTAATTGTTTTTTTTTAACCTAGCAAAAGCCTAAGTTCCCAGATGTATTTTCTCTCTTTTTTTATTAATAAAATTTATCTTTTTTAAGAATAGAATTGGATTTTTGTGTCTTAAGAGGTTTGTGCACATGCTGTGTAATTAGCTGCTGGCAACAGCTGATTTCCTTTTTTTCCCCTTTCTCAGCTCTTCCCCGGAGGGGGGGTGAAAGGGCTTGAGGGAACCCCACAGGAAGGAATTCCCAAGTGCGCCTTCCTGGGCTCTCAAAGGGGTTCTGCACTTGAGTGGTGGCAGCATCTACCCATCCAAGGTCAGAGAAAAGCTGTAAGCTTGGGAGTTTAATACAAGCCCGGAGTGGCCAGTATTAATTTTTAGAATCCTTGCGGGTCCCACCTTCTGCACTCGGAGTAACAGAGTGGGAATCAGCCTTGATAGAGGCAATACAATTTCCAGGCACATGGATACCCAGTGCAGGGTTCTGGGGGGTTCCATGGTATCATAGAGGTTAAGGCCAGAAGGAACCTCCTGTATAATGCAGGTCACTAAATATCACCCACTACAGAAAGGATGTGGACAAATTGGAGAGCAACGAAAATGATTAGGGGGCTGGGGCACGTTACTTACGAGAAGAGGCTGAGGGAACTGGGATTATTTAGTCTGCAGAAGAGAAGGGTGAGGGGGGATTTGATAGCAGCCTTCAACTACCTGAGGGGGGTTCCAAAGAGGATGGAGCTCGGTTGTTCTCAGTGGTGGCAGATGACAGAACAAAGAGCGATGGTCTCAAGTTGCAGTATGGGAGGTCTAGGTTGGATATTAGGAAAACTATTTCACTAGGAGGGTGGTGAAGCACTGGAATGGGTTCCCTAGGGAGGTGGTGGAATCTCCATCTGTAGAGGTTTTTAAGGCCTGGCTAGACAAAGCCCTGGCTGGGAAGATTTAGTTGGTGTTGGTCCTGCTTTGAGCAGGGGGCTGGACTAGATGACCTCCTGAGGGCCCTTCCAACCCTAATCTTCTATGATTCTATGATCCTGGTACCCCTGGTTTGAGCCCCAAGACTTGAACTAGACCAAAGCATTTCAGTCCTCAGGAGACTAAGCTGTTGTGTGCAAAAAGCAGCGAATGGGAGCAGCTGAGGGGGTGAGGACTTGTTCCTAGGGAGCTCTAGACTCTAAAGGCCTTGCCCTCCCTCCATCTGCCCGGCGCAATGGGAGCCGACCCTTCCCCAGCTGCACTTGGCCACGCCACGGGCCTGGGTGAAGACCAAGCAAATGCTGCTCCTCTGAGGAAAGATGCAGTCAGTGGAGAGCCAACATGGGGTGGCCGCCTCATGCAGCCCTGGTGACTGGTCTAAAACAACAAAGAGCCGACCCAGGCTGGAGGCGCCGCATCCAGGAACCTGCTCCCCACCTGAGCGAGTGAGACAGTCTCCCTGCCCCTCCCCCCAGCCCGCCAAGATGCTGGGCATGCAGGCAGGGCCAGTGTGCTGGCACATGGCCCTGCGGACTGCGTTACAAAGACGCTGCTGTGCCAGAGCAGAATGTAGGCCCCGTACTTGCGCTGCTGCACACTCACCTGGGGGGGAGAGGGGGGCACCTCACCCGGCGGCACTGAGACGTGAAGATGACAAGTGAGCGTCCCAGCCTCAGAGGCTGTGGGGGGGCTTCAGCATGTGACTTGCAGCCCCCAGCACTCTCCCTGCTCGCTCACTGCGCTGGGCGGGGAGCACACTTCCGTTCTCTGAACAGGAACTATTCGTGCAGAGCACAGGGGATATCTGCAGCCCAGAAGCCTGATAACAACTCAGCCCTGTGGAAACGGCCTGAGGAGCATGTGCATTGAGGGCTAACTGACAGCACCCCAGGGCTACCAGAGCAGGGCTCAGGAGAGCTTGTGCTGGGCTGAGTGACTCACTGGGGGGTTTGGGGAGCCATTACTGCAGGTGCTTTCCTGGCCACCCCTCAGAGTGGGTTCTGGGACTGCCACACAGCTCCCATGGAGCAACCCTGCACAGGCCTGGCCTCCCCTGGCACCCTCAGGGAGGGAGAAGCCAGAAGACCCTGCAAAGCCACATGGCTCTCAGCCCCTTGGCTGCATGGACCCATGCAGCAGGGCTCCCCAGACAGTCCCATAGGGCCCTCTGCGCCAGGGGGCAGACACAAACCTTCTGCCCCTACCAAGGGGATCTTGTGGCTGATGCCCCTTCCCCACTGGTGATCCAGACCCCACAGGATCCCAGAGAGCAGCGTATGCCAGGGAGGTGCTGTCCCCTCCCCACAACCCTCTGCAGGGGTGCCAGGGTTATGGCCCCCCACAGCACAGTGTCCAGGCCAGCATATGCCTCCTAGGGCACTGCAGGCCTCAGTCCCACAGGGATAAAGGTCAGTATGCTCAAAATCTAACGGCTGGGTTTGGGCTCCAGCCTTCTCCTTGGGATGCGCACACGCACCCCTCCTCCAGCCCCCGTCTCTCCTGCCGTCCCTGTCCCCCCCCCCTTCCAGCAGCTGGTCCAGCATGGAGCTGCTCTGGGTTTTCCCCACCCCTGCTGCTGTCACAGGCACATGCTCGCTGCTACCCAGCCTGAGGAAGTCGGAGAACGGGGTCCTGCCGGGCAGGTTCCCAGCCCAGGGAGGAGGCCCATGGGGCTGCTGATGGGGGAGGGGCTGCCTGCAGAGATGAGGCAGGGGGAAGGAATCCCATGCTGCGCAGCCTCCCAGTGAGTGCCTCTCCTCCAGCCCATGCAGAGCCCGTGCAGGCAGCTCCCCCAGCCCTTGGGCATGGGTGGAGAGTGACTCCAACAGTGGCTTAGGCTGCAGCACACCAGGCCTGGCACACAGCTCTGCTCCCAACCATTCTCACTCCCCCAGGCAGGCAGGGCAGGGCCATTGCTGGATCTGGAGGAAGAGATGGGGAATGACCCTAGGGACGGCTCTTTCAAGCCACAAAGTAGTTCCCAATGGGTGGCACAAGGATGATTGTCCCCAGCGGCTCCCTTGGCCTATTACTGAGCCAGCGGTTCTCAAACTGTGGGTTGGGAGCCCAAATGTGGGTCACGACCCCGTTTTAATGGGCTCACCAGCGATGGTGTTAGACTTGCTGGGGCCCGGGGCTGAAGCCACCACCCGAGGCTGAAACCTGAGTCCCACCTCCCAGGGCCGAAGCCAAAGCCTGAGCCCCACTGCCTGTGGCCCCAGCCTGAGCCCCACCACCTGGGGCTGAAGCCCAAGCTCAAGGGCTTCAGCCCTTGATGGTGGTGGTGGTGGGGGTCAGGCTTCAGCTTCAGCCCTGGGTGGCGGGGCTCAGGTTACAGGCCCCCCACCTGGGACTGAAACTCTTGGGCTTCAGCTTTGGCTCCCCCGCTTGGGGTGGCAGGGCTCAGGCGGACTCAGGCTTTGGTTCCCCCCTCCTGGGGTTGTGTAGTAACTTTTGTTGTCAGAAGGGAGTCACGGTGCAATGAAGTTTGAGAACGGCTGATAGGCTGCCTGCCCCTCCCATTGGCCAGAGTTCAGTCTTATACCTGTGCTCACATTGGGGCCTGCATTGCTCTCCTGCCATCCAGCCAGAGCCACCACCCCTCTGAGCCATAGCCTGCATCCTGGCACAGTTCTCAGATTCTCCCCCAGCTCCTGGGAGGCTGCCTCTGCTCACACATAGCCGCTGGCTTGCTCCTTGGGCCTGATCCTCATGCCTACCCCAGACTGAGCCCTATCCCACAGGGCATCCTGGGAAGGGCAGGGAGCCACATCAGCTTTCATGCTCTTGGGGACACCAGAAGAACGGCACAGCAGCCTTGGAGGTCTCATTCCCCAGAGAAGTGCAGAGCTCCAGATGCATACACAATGGTGAGGGCACATATTTCCTGTAACTCAGCCTCACTGGTCGCATATGAAGGTATAGATAGAGGTGACAGTGTACGGTGTACTGGTATTATGGTGGCACAGTAGCAAACCCATTGTTAGGCATTTCTTTTTAACAGGAGTGAATGTCACAATTTGTTTTTAGAAGTGTTGCAAAAATAGATATAAACAAAATGTAGTCATTAAAATAGTATATTTGATTTTTCTGTGGTGGACTGGTGCAGGTCAGATTGATACAAACAGAATACTAAGATTTCAAAAGTGGCCACTTGCAAACTATGTGAATGGGGCATCTCACCATTACTCAGATCCTTTTTGCAAAATCAGTAACATTCTGGGGTGTGCTTGTGTCTTACTCAATATTTCCATATGCTAGTTGGGACCGTGCCATCAAGAAAGCTGTCACATCCTGCCCTTTATGGGTTTTCATGGTTTTACTACTTCCTAACAACCACACGAAGCCAGTGTATTTGTTTCTCTTTCCAGCAGGGCAGTAGAGGTGACACAATGCTGCTGGGACAGGATTTGCTCAAGTAGAAGATAAGCTGCCCTGTTTCCTGCGTGGGCACTATTCTATTCAGGACTGGTAATGCAAATAACCCTGAGCATGCTAATTGGATTTTCCAAGGCGTAGTAAATAAAGGCACAAGGGGCATATATATATATGAAGGGCCACTGAGACCGGTGGAAAATTTGCTAACAAAACTGTTTTCCACAGAAAATTGGATTTTCAACAAAACAATTTTTTTGAAAGTATCTGCATCCTCTGGAAAATGTAGATATTTTCATGAAAAAACACCACCCCACAAACTGAAAATTGGGAGATGCTGTTGCAGTGCCTCTTGTAGTTTGGTGCCTTGTCCACATTTTCCTCTATGGTTCAGGCTCACCCAGCTAAACTACATCTCCCATGCTGCACCATGGCCAGGGATTACCATGATTCACTGCCTCGCCTTCCCAAGAGGAAGACCACAGTGCATCATGGGAGACATAATCAAACCCAAGAGTCCAACCTACAAAGGTGACTGGGAGCACAAGCCACCTGAACTCCAGCTCCTATGAGGCATCGCAACAGCATTCCCAAGTCAAATCTTTTGGTTTTCAGCTGAATTCTTTCCATTTTTGACTGTTTTTTTTTGGTATTTCCATTTCCACTGAAAAATTAAAATTTTCCAAAGAAAATTTAGAAAAAAATGATTGTTCCTTCCATTTTCATTACATTTTCCACATCAAGTCCCATTTTTCAACCGAGTGACAGCTCCAGCCTGAATGCCACCTGTGCAGTCCCTGCTGCCTTCCCTTGTGGGGCTGACGTACCAGCTGTTCATGAAGGCTCAGGCAGCACAACTGCACCATTGCCTTCGGTCACTGTGCATCAGAGCCAGCAAAACAGGTGGGACGAGCCAGATGCACAGATCCACCCTTCCCAGGCACTGACTGCCGGCAACGCTTACACCCAGCCTTGTCTCAGCCCTGTGTGCGCTGGGCGCTGAGGCTGTCCACAGCCCTGTACAGGGATGCTGGGAACTTGTCAGGAACAGAGGAGGGCAGAGGAGAAGCAGAACTCAGAGGGAAGGGGGCTGTTATTGGGGATTCATAGTTGGGGGGCACCCATGGAAGCCAGCTGCTTCCCAAAGCCCCATCCTGCAACTGCAGTGCAAGAAAGGGTGGCAGCAGCCAGCGTTGGGTGAAACTGCCAGGTCCTGGCACACATCCCAGCTCAAAGGAGAGGAGGCTGACTGTGGTTATGACCCTACCCCCCTCAGACCAATGACACAGTGGTGTGCACTTGGCTTTGGCCAAGGCCTACCCCTCTACCTTCACAGCTTCCCCACCCAGCTCACAGCAGCGTGTGCGCATGGCCCCCCTGCAGGGTGGCAGTTGCTAGCGAGTATGTGAATGGCTTTGGGGCTCATTAGGCAGGGGTGGCTACAGGTCCTTGGTGAGTCCCTTGGATGGCGCACAGTGCTTTGGAGACAGGGTTTCCCCAGCTGAGTAGTGGGATTGTGATAGACATTGGGAAGAGGTGGCATGTGACTCAGGTGTATCCAATGCCAGATACTTAGGGGAATGGCATAGCCACTTGGCCTCTGTGGCTTCGTTTGCTGTGGGAAAGGATGTAGTGCAGGCTTGTGCCTGCAAACCGGAGCAGGATGGGGTGTGTGTGTGGGGGGTCTTTTTTCCTTCTCCCCTTTCTTCTCTCACATATTTTAGCAGTTGAAAGAGGAGTGTGTGAGACTGAGCAGGTTGCAGCTTCTCTTGGAGGGCTAGCAGAGAGGTCCTTTCTGGCAGTGCCTCCCCTACAATCTGTGTGCAGCAGAGCCCATAGCTACAGCAGGGACCCCAGCATCTCTTCTTCACACATGTGCAGCTGAACTCAGCTGTCTACAGGTCTTTGACGGGTGTAAACACCAAGCCAGGAGGGGAGCTAGGAGCAGAACTAGGCATAGAGGGGGGATGTTAATATAGGAAACTCTTAGGTTCGGACTCCAATAATCTCTCTGGCAATGAGATGTACTCATCTGGGGAATGGGCTCTCTAGGAAATGGAGGAAGATGGAGCCACTTGTTTCCTGTGGCTCATTGTACTGGGACACTTCAACAGCTGTGCAGATAACTCCTCTGACACAATGGGCAAACCCTCCTCTCCACCTTGGTCCCACACTGCTGGTTTCTGGAACAGCAAACACAGTCATACCCTAGACTGGACCCTGGGCCTAGACGTGGACATAGAAAACACAAGGAAAGTGCCATCACTTGGCACATTTAAGACTAGACTGGAAAAAGTTGGCAGTGACTCTTGTACCCTAACCCTCAATGGCTGGACTAGATGGGATCCTAGGGGCCTTTTCCACACCAGTTCCCATGAGATGTGGTTTGGTGACTAGGTAGGGGTGGGCTTGGAAAGGAGGCTGGAGAGAGAAACTGGAACACACTCCTTCCTTCTGTGAGACCCAGTAGTGGACAGTCAGTATTTACTGGTGACTGGGTCACACCCCAGAAGCTCATGGCCTCAGCACTGTTCCAGGGCTTCTAGCAAAGGACAGAGCAATACTCTGAATCTTCTCCAGTTCAGAGAGCGCCAGCCCTGCAAGAGAGGCTTGCTAGTGGTGCTGAGTGAGTGCGGGCTATACTCTTGGAGGAGAGGGAGCTGAATCCAGGATGATCCTCAGTTTGGATGCACTTGTTCCCATGGATCCCGGGGCACCCACTTCAACTTCCAAACAGTAGAGTTGGAATACAGGTAATGAAGGTTATCGGCAATAGAGTACAGGTGATGAAGGTTGTCGTGACTGGAGTACAGGTAGTGAAGGGTACGTGCTGTTCAGGAAAGACAGAACTAAAGGCAAAGGAGGTGGAGTAGCATTGTATGTTAATGGTGAGGTAGACTGTAAAGAAATTAGAAGTGATGGAATGGATGAGTCAGTTTGGGTCAAAATCACTTTGGGGGGAGAAAGATAACAAAGGCTCCACTGGGACAGTGCTTGGGGTCTGCTACAGACCCCAGGATACAATTTGAATATGGATAGAGACCTCTTTAATATTTTTAATGAAATAAATACCACTGGGAATTGTGTGATTATGGGAGACTTTAATTTTCCAGCTATAGACTGGAGGACAAGTGGTAGGCCCAGATTTTCCTGGATGTGACAGATGAAAGATTTCTTCATCGACTGAATCAACAAGCGGTAATGCCATTTTAAATTTAGTATTGGTGAGTAGTGAGGACCTCATAGAAGAACAGGCTGTAGAGGACAATCTTGGTTTGAGTCATGAGCTAATTCAGTTTAAACTGAATGGAAGGAGCAACAAATATAGGTCTGCAACTGGGATCCTTGATTTCAAAAGAGCTAAATTTAAAAAATGAAGGGAAGTAGTTACAGAAGTGGACTGGACTGAAGAACTCAAGGATCTGAATGTGGAGGAAGCTTGGAATTAATTTAAGTCAAAAGAACAGGAGCACTTGTGGCACCTTAGAGACTAACAAATTTATTAGAGCATAAGCTTTCGTGGGCTACAGCCCACTTCTTCGGATGTTGCCAAACCTATTTGAAGCCTGAATCCCAAGCAAGGGGTAAAAATTTGTAGGGAAGGGTTGCAACAGAATGAACAGGATGAACAAGCATCTCAAACAGGTTAAAAGAAAGCAGAAAGCCTACAAGGAATGGAAGATGGGATGGATCAGCAAGGAAAGCTACCTCTTGGAGGTCAGAAAGTGTAAGGAAAAAATGAGAACTGCAAAAAGCCAAGGAGGGTTGGACCTTGCAAAGGAAATTAACACCAACTGTAAAAGGTTCTATAGCCATATAAATAAAAGAAATAAAACAAGGAAAGAAGTGGGACCACTAAGCACTGAGGAAGGAATGGAGATTAAAGATAATCTAGGCATGGCCCAACACCTAAACAAATACTTTGCCTCCGTTTTTAATAAGGGTAATGACGAGTTTGGGGTAGTGGCACAGTGGCTAATGGGAATGAGGAGACAGAAGTAGAAAACACCACATCCAAGGTGTAAGTCAAATTCAAACAGTTTAATGGGACCAAATCGTGGGGCCTGGACAATCTCCACCCAAGAATATTAAAGGAACTGGCACATGAATTTGCAAGCCCAATAGTAACAATTTTAAAGGAATCCCTAAACTCAGGAGCTGTACCCTATGACTAGAGAATTGCTAATATAGTACCTATTTTTTTAAAAGGGAAAAAAGTGATCCAGGAAACTACAGGCCTGTTAGTTTTACCTCAATTGTATGGAAGGTCTTGGAACAAACTTTGAAAGAGAAAGTAGTTAAGAACATAGCGGTGAACGGTAATTGGGATAAAATACAACATGGTTTTACAAAAGGTAGATCGCGCCAGACCAACCTGATCTTCTTTGAGAAGATAACTGATATTTTAGACAAAGGAAATGCATCTAATCTACCTGGATTTCAATAAGGCATTTGATACAGTTTCACATGGAAAATTATTAGTTAAATTGGAGAAGATGGGATTAATATGAGAATTGAAAGGTAAGGAACTGGTTAAATGGGACAGTACAATGGGTCATACTGAAAGGTGAACTGTCAGGCTTGAAGGAGGTTACTAGTGGAGTTCCTCAGGGATCAGTCTTGGGACCAATATTATTTAACATTTTCATTAATGACCTTGGCACAAAAAGTGGGAGTGCACCAATAAAACTAGCAGAGGACACAAAGTTGGGAGGTATTGCCAATATGGAGGAGGACCAGAATATCATATAAGAAGATCTGGGTAACCTTGAAAACAGGAGTAATAAAAATGGGATGAAATATAATAGTGCAAACGTATGCATTTAGGGACTAACAACAAGAATTTTTGCTATAAGCTGAGGATATATCTGTTAGAATTGACAGAGAAAGAGCTGGGTGTATTGCTTGATCACAGGATGACTATGAACTGTCAATGTGATGTGGCTGTAAAAAAGGCTAATGAAGTCCCATAATGCATCAGGTGAGGTATTTCCAGTAGAGACAGGGAAGTGTTAGCACCATTATACAAGGCACTGGTGAGAACTCCTCTGGAATAGTGTGTGCAATTCTGGTCTCCCATGTTTAAGAAAGATGAATTCAAATTGGAACAGGTGCAAAGAAGTGCTACTAGGAGGATCAGAGGATTGATGCCTTATGAGAGGAGACTCAAAGAGCTTGGCTTGTTTAGCCTAACCAACAGAAGGCTGAGGGGAGATATGTTTGCGCTCTATACATACATCAGAGGGACAAATACCAGGGAGGGAGAGGAGTTATTTAAGTTAAGGGCTAATGGTGGCACCAGAACAAATGACTATAAACTGGCCATCAACAAATTTAGGCTTCAAGTTAGACAAATGTTTCTAACCAACAGAGGAGTGAAGTTCTGGAAGAGCCTTCCAAGGGGAGCAGTGCGGGCAAAAAAACCTAAGTGGTTTTAAGACTGAGCTTGATACATTTATGGAGGGGGTGGGATGATGGGACTGCCTATAAGGGCATGTCGCCGATCTGCGACTGCTAGCAGCAAATAGCTCCAATGGCTGGTGATGGGACACTAAATGATGAGAGTTCTGAGTTACTTCAGAGAATTTTTTCCCAGGTGCCTGGCTGGTGGGTCTTGCCCACATGCTCAGGGTCTAACTGTCGCCATATTTAGGGGTTGGGAACGAATTTTCTCCCAGGTCAGATTGGCAGAGACTCTGGGGTTTTTTGCTTTCCTCTGTAATGTGGGGCACAGGTCACTTGCAGATTTAAACTAGTGTAAATGGAGGATTCTCTGTGCCTTTAAGTCTTCAAATCATGATTTGAGGACGTCAGTAACTCAGCCAGAGAGGTCTATTACTGGAGTGGGTGGGTGAGGGTCTATGGCCTGTGATGTGCAGGAGGTCAGACTAGATGATCACAATGGTCCCTTCTGGTCTTAAAGTCTATGAGCTCTCTCCTGTCACATGGCCCTGTCCACTGGGAACATTGATTGGTGTTTTTCTGTCCCAGCACAGCTCTGCCGGTGATTCCAGTGTGGCAGCTTTAGTGGAAAGAGGGCTCTGAACAGGGCTGGTAAAAATGCCTTAGCCTTAGCTATACTCCAGCTCCCACTAGTAGTAGCACCAGAGCAGAAAAACACTGAGAATTGTTGCCAGCACAGATAGGAACTGGTGCAGTTTCTATGGGTTTAGGTGTCAAAGTGGCTGCCAAGGTGAATGACTGGTTCAAATGGGAGAATGGAAAGAAGCCTGTTTTGGGCAGCTCCCTGGCTGGGATAGTGGAAGGGTTTGACTGGAATGGGGCTTGGGGCCTGTTTGAACCTGAGTTAACTCACGTTGATTCGGAGGAGAGTGGATGTTAATCTGGACACTAGGGCTGAGTGTGGAATAGACATCTGTGGTGTGTCTAGAGTGGCATTTACTATCCAGTTAATCAGCAGTCAGTTATTCCATGTTAAAACAGGTTCCAAACTCTGGTGTCTCTAAACTGGCATTCTCCCAGCTTTGGCCACTCCCAGCCAGCACCATGCAGGAGTGAGTGCCGCACTGCTGTGTGGGAGGCTGCACACTGAACACTTGGAGCTGAAAGCAGGACTCAAAGACACCCGATAGGATACTTGATTGCAATTCAGGAGACAGGCAAAGCCCTGACCACTCCAAGCCCCGCTTTGGGCCCCGTGGGCCAAACCACATACTGCAGGCCTGAAGGTGAGAGTGACAAGATACAAGAGATGAGACAGCACAAGCTCGCCAAGTGTGTTCTCTGCAGGAAGCCTGCTGAAAACAGGGAGTCTGGGGGATCTGCACTTCGAGCAGCTGAGATGTTCCTTCTTCTGTCAGCCATCCAGGTCCTATTCACTCAGCACGTGAACAAATGATGCCGGGAAGACGCCTTTCCTGTGGGGCTGCCCTTCAATCCAGCCGTTCTGTGAAGAGAAAAGCCAGCAAAGGCTTAGTCAGCTATGGCTCTTCCATGGGGTTGGGTAGCCAGTGGAAAGGAACTGACTACAGTAATGACTGCAAGCCATTCCTAAACCAGCCCGGGCAGTGCCCAGCCACTCCAATCTCCACACTAGCCAACTCCCCTGAGAACAAGGCCAGGTTCTGGGCAGGTTACGAGGTTCTCAGCAAGCTTGCATTAGTTACTCTAGTCTTTCCTGAATCACTGAAGGCAGAATGGTATTGTGAGTGGATCTCGAATCCGGGCCCCTGGATCCCCAGGCAGTGCTCAGTCCACAGCCACTACCCAGCAGCTCACCTGAGCCACTGTAGAAGGGAACCAATGAAGCTCTAGCTCACAAAGGGCTCTGCCTCCGAAGCTCCTGATTGGGGGGAATGTCCAGCACCATGGACTGGCTGGGGAGCTCTGTTTAGACCAGAAAGGGACAGGAAGTTGTCTGAGCAACTAGAGGAATCCCTGGCTGGCTGCTGCTACTACTACTATGTACCCTGCCTGCTTGCATGACTCCTGGTTCCTGCCTTCCTCCCTGTTGCTGTCATCCTTATCCCAGACCCTCGTCTGTTCCCAGTTCCTGCCTCACTCCGCATCCCTGCTCCTATGCCCGACCCCGATGCTGACTCCAGCTTCGACCCGTGGCATGGCGCCTGACTCTAGCCACGAGGCCTGACCACCCAGGCCCCAATCATTACAGGAACCAGGGCACTGCCATCCAGGGTTCCAGCTAGGGTTTCCAACTGTCTAAGAACACAAACCCAAACACCCTTGCCCCGCCCCTTCCCCGAGGCCCCGCCCCGCTCACTCCATTCCCCCCTCCCTCCGTCGCTTGCTCTCCCCCACCCTCACTCACTTTCAGTGGGCTGGGAGGGGGTGTGGGCTCTGGGCTTGGGCCAAGGGTTTTGGAGTATGGGAGGGGGCTCTGGGCTGAGCCTGGGGCAGAGGGTTGGGGTGCAGGAGGGGGTGCGGGGTGCAAGCTCTGGGAGGGAGTTTGGGTACTGGAGGGGGCTCGGGATTGGGGGTTGGGGTGCGGGCTGGGGCAGGGAATTGGGGTGCAGGACAGGGTGCGGGTGCAGACTCTAGGAGGGAGTTTGGGTGCAGGAGGGGTCTCAGGGCTGGGGCAGGGGATTGGGGTGTGAGAGGGGGTAAGGGGTGTGAGTTCCAGCTGGGGGGTGCTTACCTCGGGCGGCTCCTGGTTGGCAGTGCAGCCAGGCTAAGGCAGGCTCCCTGCCTGCCCTGGCCCCACACCACTCCCGGAAGCAGGCAGCATGTCCCTGTGGCCCCTGCCGGGGCAGGGGTCAGTGTGCGCTGCATGTGCCCCGAGCCCTGACTCCGCAGCTCCCATTGGCCAGGAACTGCGGCCAATGGGAGCTGTGGGGATGGAGCCTGCCTTAGCAGGAGCCACCCAAGGTAAGTGGGGCCAGGGGGCGCCTCACGCTTCCCCCTCCGCACACCGCTCCCGGAAGCGCCCGGCACGCCCCCGGGGGGACAGGGGGCTCCGTGCGCTGCCCCTGCAGCTCCCATTGGCCGCAGTTCCTGGTGGGTGCTGGGGAGGGGGGTGCGGTGCTCGGGCGGGGGGAGTCGCGTCCCGGGGGGGCATGGGTGCTGGGCGGGGGTTCGTGGGGCTGGACCAGGCTCCCTACCCAGATCCTGGGAAGTGGCGATCCCAGCTCCCTAGCTCCACATGCTGCCTCTGCTCCGCCCCAAGCCCTGGTTCTGCAGCTCCCATGTGGAGCTAGGATCTGAGGGAGAGGAGCCCCCCCGGTAAGCACTGGCCCCAATCCCAAGCCCTGAGCCCACACCCAAACTCCTTCTGCTGGGGGGCAGAGGGGCCCTGAGACTGCCCCAGCGGCAGCCAGTGGTATCTGAAGTATCAGGGGGTAGCCGTGTTAGTCTGTATCTACAAAAACAACAAGAAGTCTGGTGGCACCTTAAAGACTAACAGATTTATTTGGGCACAAGCTTTCGTGAGTAAAAACCTCACTTCTTCGGATGCATAGAGTGAAAGTTACAGATGCAGGCATTATATACTGACACCGGACTTTACACTTCAGTGGTATCTGACACTTCAGTGGTATCTGAAGTTAGGAATAGTGTCTATGCATCTATTACAAATGTGTTTACACCTGGGGAATGCAATCAGTCTAGATGGCTGGCTGGGAAGGGCCATTAGGGAGAACAATAGGTCTTAGAAGGTGCTAATCTTCCACCGGGGATCCTTCCTGGGAAGCCTTCTTGAGGACGCTGCAAACAGCCTCTGAGTCATGGCTGCGGTGGCCCTACAGGGACATGTCACCAAGTCACCTGGTACTGGACTCCATGATAATACTAGTGTTTTTCCACTGAGCACGCGTGGGAATCAAACTGGGAGACAAAGGATTCCCGCCATATGCAAAAACTATTTAAGGTAGGGGAGTGACATCACCGTGGTTCATTCTTCACTGACTCCCTGCCCAAGAAAGAGGACTGAACTAGGGGAGAAGGGCTTAATCCAGGCTAGAGGGTTGTCTAGCCTGTGAAAGGAATAACTGGAGTTTTAAGCTGCAAGCAAGGGCAGGTTGCCTTCAAGAATCTCTGCAATCTGCCTAAAACAACATTTAGGGTGAGAATTTGCTGCCCATATCCAATTTCTTTAGAATATTAAGTTTAGATTGTGTTTTTGTTTTATTTGCTAGGTAATCTGCTTTGATCTGTTTGCTACCCCTTATAATCACTTAAAATCTATCTTTTGTAGTTAATAAACTTGTTTTGTCTAAAGCCAGTGTGTGGAAATCATAACTGTGGGGCAGAAAACTGTGTATATTCCTCTCCACATAGAGGGCGAATTTCATGAGCTTATGTTGCACAGATCTCTGTGCAGCGCAAGACGGCATAATTTTGGGTTTACCCTCTAGAGGGGAGGTGCACTTGAGTACTGGGCAGTACCTTAGGTGAGCCTTCCCATGCAGAGCTGATCTCAGCATCTGTGTGAATCTGCAGCTGGGTGTGTCCCTGCCTGTATGTGTGCTGGTAAAGTGCAGGCTGAAGCCCGAGGGAGGGCTTGGCAGGCTGCAGAGCAGTACAGTGTTAAGGGAACCCAGACTGGTGGGTCAGGCGGGCTCAGTGGTAGCCCAGTCCCAGGTGGCACCCCGGAGATGGGGGAGAGGGGACCCATCACAATTATTATTTTTTAATAAAATGGTGACATCTGTATTGTTTGTCTTGGAAGAGCCAGCCATAAGTTAGATTTCTAGATGTCCAGTAGAGATGGGACAGGTACAACTGTTCCCAATATTCTAACATTTGCATTTCAAGTTTGTAGCTGGTTAGCGCAACAGCAGAACCTGAAGTGCTGAAGGAGAGTAGGTGTGACAGGAGCAAGCGGATTAACAGGTATCAGTGCAAGAGGCAGAGGGAAGAGAGAGCCAATGAGGGTTTGGGCGAGCACCTCAGAGTGGAGAGTGCAGAGGGCTGGGTGCAGAGCTCTGGAGATCAGCAAGACAGGAGTGGGATTGCTCAGCTCTAACCAGGAGACCATGAAAAAAACAGGACAGCGCTCCAGGGGAGGCAAGGGAGGAAGGCAGCTTGGCTAAGATTCTGGGAGCTGTGGCTAGAGAGGGGCTTGGTGTGCAGGTCAAGGGGACATCAGCATGTGTAACCCACACACCTCCTGGGTGTGGTGTTCTGTCCCATCTAGTGGCACCGAGACCACTTAGAGAGAGAGTTAAAATGAGTCTGCTCTACAGCCTTAGTTAAAGAGTCAGTTGGCTTTTAGCTCATGCAGTAGCGGCTCATACACTAAGCTCCAGAGACCCCAGGTTCGATCCCGCCCACCAATGACCAGTGTCTATCGGCGTTACAAGTAGGGGCTCGTCCGGGATCTCAACTGGGAAGACTCTGAAGCTTGGGATGCGCTTCCTCAGCTAGGGGAAGTATGTAACCCACACACCTGGGTGTGGTGTTCTGTCCTGTCTAATGGCACCAAGACCACTGAGAGAGAGGGAGAAAATGAGCTGCTCTACAGCTTCAGCTAAGAGCCAGTGGCTTTTAGCTCATGCAGTAGAGGCTCATGCACTAAGCTCCAGAGGTCTCCGGTTTGATCCTGCCCACCGGCAACCGGGGCTCTGTCGGCACTACACATGTACACTGGAACCTGCAGTGCCATACTACAGCGTAGGCCGATACTTACCCACCAATTGCAGTCCTCCTCTTCGGCCACAATGATGATCTCCCCCGCACGGAAGGTCAGCTCATCCGCACGGTCAGCCTGACAGTCATACAGGGCTCGGACCCGGAAGAAGCGCGGTTTACTCTGCAAATCAGGAGGGGAGAACACCATCAAGCCTGGATCCCTTTGTCTAATGCGTCCTGCACCATGCTCTTTGGTAGACACAAACACATGCAGCCTGAGCACAGGGGCATTTTGGTCCCCAAGCCCCTGTGCACTCAGGGCAGGAGAGAATCCCCTCCAGGCTCATGGGTGGGGGGCACCAACCAACATGGGAGCAGGTGAGTGAGGGACATGCCATGGGGCCACAGGGGATCAGGCTGGGAGAGTGCTGGGGGGAGAGGGGAGGCGAGTGCTGGGTGGCTGTGGGTGCTTTGGGAGCTCTGGAGGGGGTGGCGAAGGGCTGCAGGGGTCCAGATGTGGGAGACTGTGTAGTGTGGCTCTGGCAGCTTCCTAACTGCAGTGTTCTTCCATATAATTGCCAACTTTCTAATTTCTGAAAACCGGACCCCTTGCCCCGCCTCTTTCCCCCCAAGGCCCCGGCCCTGCCCTGCTTCTTCCCCAAGGCCTTGCCTCTTCTCTCGAGGCCCTGCCCCTGCTCCACCTCTTCCCTTGAAGCCCCAGCCCTTGCTGGCTCCTCTCCCCCACCTTCACTCGCTGCTCTACCCTCCCCCCGCTTCCTCATTGCTTGATCCTCACCACCTCTCTCCCCCTGCCCCCACAGCTGGGCTCCCTCTGCTTCTCCCTGGCTGGGACAGGAGCTGCAGCCTCATGTGGACCCTGATGCCTGCCTGCCCATGAGATGCAGTAGGAGGCGGCCCCGGCTGAGCAGGGGCTGGTGTGGGTTGATGGCCCGGCGCCTCTCTCCCTCCTGCGGTAACCGGACTTTTGGTGTCTGGTCAGTAAATCTGACTGGACACTGCTAGGTCCCCTTTTCGACCGGACTTTACAGTTGAAAACCGGACACCTGGAAACCCTATCATCTTTCTGGAGACAGCAAGTCCTGTGTCCTTGTTTATTTGCTGCCCTGTGGGCCTTTGGGGGAGAGGGGGGCTTGTGTGGAGCTCTCCTGGGGGCAGGGAGCCTGGGGGAAGGGTTGGTGCTAGGAAGGGAGAGGTGGGAGAGTGAGACAGAGGCTCTGGCCTCCACAGGGCCCCAGGGACAGGGCACCCCCAGGAGGCTGAGGGCCTGATCTGCAGCATGCAGTCTTCATCTTGCACTGTGTGTACCTTCCCCCCATGCACACGCCTGCGTCTGCCCGGGCAGAGGAGCTGACACGTCCCCGGGGACGCACGCTCACCCACTCTGCATGTGCTTTCAGGGGAAGGGAGCAGGCAAGATATACAGGGACCCCAGTCCCTCCCTTCAGAAATCAGGCCCTGTGGAACAGCTGGCCGCAGGGCAGCCTGCTCCGGCTGTGTGGGGATGAGAGGGATGCGCACCTAGGGACTTGGGCTAGCCTCTGCTCCCCATGGTGTTTTGTGAATGCCCCCGCAGGGGGAGGACTCCATGCCTGCAATCAGCTCCTGACATTTCCACGTGGCTCTGCTGCCCTCCGAGCCCTGTCCATGGCTGGGGTGCCAGCAGGGCAGCGCTGGAGTTAGAAGGGGGGCACGTTTGCCAACATTACAACCAAATACAGAGAGAAAAGGGGGATCTGAGCGCGACATCCCAGACCAGAGCACCTACCAGGCCGTCCCTCCTTGGGATCGCGGGCGGCACGTCCTGTGCTGGGCCAGGGCCTCCACCTGGGTCTTGTGAGGGCCATGGCAGCCCACGGCTTCTTCCTTTGCTGGGGCTGGCCTCACAGAACGTCTCCACTGTCTCCAGGGCAGCTAGGACACCAGCAGAACAGTCACCAACTCCCTCTCTTCACAGGCAATCAGCACCACCCGCAGGGCAGCACAGGGCGCTCAGCACCACACTGTGCCAGCCGAGCTCCCTCACTACCCTGGGCAGCTGGCTGGGCAAAGGAGGGAGACAGGAGAACAGCTGGGCTGGGGCAAGATGGCAGAGGGCAGTGGGGCTGGGGTTAGACGGCAGAGAGCTGGGCAAGGGGAGGGATGGCAGAGGGGCTGGGGGAGAGGTATAGTGGCGGTGGGGTGGGGCAGTGGAGGGTGGCAGTGCTGGGCGAGGGGAGGGATGGCAGAGGGGCTGGGAGAGAGGTATAGTGGCGGTGGGGTGGGGCAGTGGAGGTGGCAGTGCTGGGCGAGGGGAGGGATGGT